CCCCCATCCTGACATATCCATAATTCTCTTCATCAGGTTTCAGAAGACAGGCAATAACCTTTATCTGAAGAAAGCAGATGCACTTGGGTTTCTCCTCCCCATCTTCCTGGGTGGAAGGCAGCCCAGGCAGCTGCCACATCCCTGAGGCTCAGCATCTCTGAGGAGCAGTGATCAAAGCCACCCCTCTCCCATCACAGTAGGCTCCGGATGTCAGCTCCATAACACCCCGCCTACCCATCCTGCCAGAGAGACTCTGTGCATTCATCAGGCATCTCCAGAGAGGCACACAGCAATCTGGAAGGCCCCGAGATGCCAGACCACTAATGTGCTAGGGAACAGACGTCAGTGAATATTACAAACACCCCAGAGGATGAGAGGCAGGCCAAGGGAGGAAAGACCTGGAAAGAATCAGACAAAAAAAAGAGGGCAAGAGCAGGCACTTGGGAAATTCATGGAGGAATGGCATTGCCTTCCTTCTTATATCAAAAAGGGGGATACTGCTGGGGAAAATTCAACAGCACTGAAAACAGGTGAAGAGGGTATCACATTCCTCTTCTCCTGTCCAACACCACAGTGCTAGGTGCTGCCACCCCTAACCTGGGAGAAACCAAAAATGCAAGGCACGAGTCCTGCTAGTGCACTGCTCCTCCAAGACAGACACAGCCAGAGCAGGAACCAAACATCTGCAATCCATCTTCACCAGAGCAGGGTTCCCACTGCAATAGGAGGGTGACTTCCCCAGGGCAGCATTGCCCCACCACCAGGCTGTCGCTCATGCCAAGGACAGTCCCTGGTCATGCAAAAGCCCATGCAGGTCATGAATGAGATGGCACTGTTTAGGTACCAGCATCCTCACAACCAGAAGCCCTCAGGTTGCCCAGACTTCCCTCCAAGCCCTCCAACTGCAGCAGCAGAGCCCAGCTCAGCAGCAGGTGCAGGAGGAGCAGAGCCAGCCCAGAGCTGCCAGCCGCTCAGCAGGTCCACACAGCACGGCCATGCCAGCCTGCTCTAGCTGTGCTGAAGCCAGAGCAGCATCTAGGTCAGGCTCGGAAGAAAACAAAGAGCAGCCAAGCAGCCCTCGGTCGAGACTGGGGGACACTGACACAATAACTGTACAGCAACAACACAGTAACTGTACCACAACAGCTCAGCCCCAGTGTGGCCCTGCTCCTTCCCTGTGTCATAGGAGAGCTCCCTATGGAAAAATGGGGGGGAAAAAATACAGGGAACAACTTTCAGATGGCTCCTGAAGTGCAGCACCTGACACTTCCTCAGGAAGAGAAGCAGCTGCCTGCCTGCTGCCCTTGGGCTTTCAGACCTGCCTGCTTGGGCCCAGCCTACAGCATCCACACCCTCCCACTTCCCTGCAACCACTGCTCACAGCTGGAGGAATCTAACTAGATCTCTCTGGCACCGGAATGATGCTCTTCAGCTACATGGGCACCAACCCACAGCCCTGCAAAATTGCAGGAGTGTTTGTCCAGCTCATCACATAATAAACAACCGTGGGGTACAGAAGAGTCTTTCAGGGACAGAAATCCTTGCCATGAAAACCACCAGAAGAGAGTGATGGGCACAGTCTCACCAGAGACTTCTCTGGCTACAACTGCCACATGTAATGACTTCCACAGCAGGTGACCTGCAGAGACTTCGATCTTAAGAGATAACCAGCTCTTTATGCTGTTACTAACCCCAGAATTAACTGATTCAGAGTGGAGTCAAACCCCTACTTCAATCAGTATTCAATGTTATGAATAGAGCCACATAGAAAACCTGGCAGGCAGAAGAGCTCAGGCCAATAGAAGCATCACTTATCTGCCAGCATCACCTCTGACAAAGCAGCTCTACCCACCTGCCTCCCACCAGCCCAGCCCCCAGCAAAGCACACCTTTCCTTCACTTTGTACCAGGAACATCCCACAGGCTTCCCTGGAAAAGACAGACACAGGAGGACTCCAAGCTGCTGAATCTCCAAGTGTTTTCTGATCCCACCCACATTTCTTCCCCTAGGCAGGGACCACGCTGCTTGCCTCCAGCCAGCAGCTCAGAGCCCCACGGCAGTCCACAGCTGCACCTTCAGAGGACACCACTGAGATGGCAAAGCCTGCGGAGACCTGGAGAAGCCAGGCAGGCTGGGGGAGGGGAGCCGAAGCATCCTAGAGGGCATCTTTGCCTCCTCCCAGGCAGCAGGAGACGAAATCCGGAGCAGCGCAGCGAGGGCAGAGCTGCCTCTCAGCACAGCCCCACCTCGCCCCGGCAGCGCCGGGCGCCCACCGCCCTGGCACTGCACACCCTTCCCGGGCAAGTGTGCACTTCATTGTTGGTGCAAACAAAGGAGCGGTTTGTGTCTGTCAAAGAGAAAGGAAGTCGGAGGCAAAATCATCCAGCAGCCCTGGATATATGCACATTAAGCTGCAGAAGGCTGCATCTATGTAGCATTTTTCACACATCAGTTAATCCCCCTGGCCCTGCTCTGTCTCCATCTTCCTGGCAGAGACGGGCTGTCTCACCTGCAGCCATAAACACAACCCCTGCCCACTTACCAACCAGACACCCGTGACCTGACACCTCCTGTGAGGCTGGGCAAGCTGCTGGGGATGGACAGGCGTGAAACATAAGCCATGTGCCCACCAGCACACCCGTGGGCATTGCTTTGGCAAGCAACTTGGTCTATTCTTACTGAGGAAAAATGAGGACGCTGGGATTCCCACCAGCTGTCTGGGGACCAAGCTATGGATCGGTCTCCGAGCCGGTACCTGGCTACAGGGCGAGTAGGAACAGTGATCTCTTGCTGTTTGCCCTTCAGGGATGCTGCCCTGCCCCCATCACCTCCAAAATAGCCCAAGGAAAGGGTTTTGCTCGGCTGCCTCCTCTGGCACCCGGTGGGCTCCCCTGCTAGGTCTCTGTGATGAACCCCAGGTCATCTGGAGGCTGCTCGGAGCTCATCCCAGCAGCAGCCTGATGCTGCCAGCTCTCAATTTGCCGCGGCCATTCCTTGGATCCCACGTTCCGGCAACCACAACCTCTCTCCTCTTGTCCTGCAGCTTCCTAAGAGAACCTCGAGCACCGGCAGGAGCACGGGGTTGGCTCAGTCCCGTTTAGAGAGGCACCACCGGGCCACTCGCCCTCTGAAGGTTTCTCCCAACAATTCCCAGTACCCGGCGAGAGCCCAAGTGCTCTCCCTTCCCACACCGACGGAGACATTGATAACGTGGGAGGCAGCCAGGACTAGACCCCGAGGCTCTACCTGCCCAAAGGACGCCCGTCCGAGACACAACCCCTCCTTTCTGCTCCCATTTCTGCCACATCATTTTCCCATCCCCGGGGCGCACAGGAATCGGCGGCTCCATCTCCCGCACGGCACCGCGGGTCTCCGCTGCGGG